TGTGTGTGTGGCCAGCTCAGCCCACCAGGGGGCGGGGCTGGCTGGCATGTGGTGCTGGGGGATTGAACCGTGGTCCTTGTGCTTTGCTAAGCTTGTTCTAAGTAGGTGCTTTAGACCACTGAGCCATCTCACCAGCCCTCCTGTTCTCTTTTTTAAACAAAGACTTGAACATACTGTGAGTACAGTCAATCTCCTTTGTAAGCTGCAGTGTCACAGAATTAGAAATTTTCACTATAGAATTTAGACTACTACATTTGACTAGTTAACCTAAGTTTATTATACAGTTTGAGTATCACTTATCCAAAATCACTGGAATCAAAAGTTCTCAGATTTTTTGAACACACGTGGAATATCTTTTTTTTTTTTCTTTTTTTCTTTTTTTAATGTATTTGGTACAGTAGGGTCTTACTGTGTGGACTCATAGTGATCCGGTTTTCAGTCTCCCCTGCACTGGAATTATAGGCGTGCACCACCACTCCTGGTATTGGTTGCTGGCTTAGTGCGCCTGGGGGCAAGGCTAGCACAGCACTTGGAGCGGGGGATTAAACTCCACAGTCCCTGTGCTTGCCTAAGCAGGCACTTAGTCCGCTGAGGTACCTTGCCATCCCTGTAATATCTTTCTGATAGGACCTATATCTACAAACAACAGTACTACAGCTCCACACTACAACTTTTAGGGAGATTTCTCAGGGTGTGCTGACATCTTGCTACTAGGGACTGACATCTAAAAAGTGATATTCTGGGGCTGGAGACCGAGACAGGGCATGGTGGCATATGCCTATAATCCCAGCTCTTGGGAGTCTGAAAACAGGATCATTATGAGTCAGATCTTTGTAGTGAGACCCTGTACTAATTACGCTAATTTAAAAAAAAAAAAAATAAGATATTCCTCTGTTTCATATATACTTTATTTTTTTGTAGCCAGCTCAGCCAGCCCTGGGGATTGGGCTGGCATAGCATGTGGTGCCAGAGATTGAACCGCAATCCTTGCACTTGCCTGAGCTTGCCTAAACAGGGGCGTTAGCTTTCTGAGCTATCTCACAGTCCCACATACATACCTTTTTTTTTTTTTTTTTTTTTGCGGAACCGGGGATTGAACTCAGGCCCTTACACTTGCCAGGGAAGCACTTAAAGTTCTGCTGAGCCGACTCCCACCCACCCCCTTTTTTTTTTTTTTTAATTGCAGTGTCCTCGTATGTACTTTATTTTTATTTATTTTTTTTTCTTTGCTGTACCGGGGATTGAACTCAGGATCTTGTGCTTGCCAAGCAAGCGCTTTATTCTACTGAGCTATCTCCCTGG